TAAACTTGCAACTTGTTTAAACTATTATTGGCACCTAGAGGATTAGTGCTTTTTTGAGACAAAATTTTCTCTACTGTGATAATTTTTTTTTTCAATTAAGTCAAAACCTCCTTATGATGCTTATTAATAAAATGGCTAAAATTCTTAATATTATTTATGCAACTTTAAAATGAGATATAAACTTTCAATAGCAAATTTCTTTGTTGAATTAAAGTTTATTTCAATCTTTTCTATAGTCATTTATAAAGATTGCTTATAGTGAATCTCTTTCTTAAAGAGGTGGAAAAAAATACATTTATTTCAAAAGTCTACAATCCGAGCAACTACATCTAATGATGTTGTATTATATGAAGTCTTACTTAAGAATGCACCAAGCACCTGGCTATAGAAGGTAGAAGAAAAATTGCAACAATAAGATCCTAACAACTCTAATAGAATATTAAATAAATTCTAATTAAACCTTAACAATACTAATAAAGCTTTAATCAAATCCAAAAGAAATATTAAAGAAATTAAAAATATATATATATATATATATATATATATATATGAAGAATCCTAAAGAACTTCTAAAGAAACTGTAAAGAAATTATAAAGAAATAATAAATAGATCTTAAAGAAATCCTTAAAAAATCCATAAAAAATCCTAAAGAAAAATTAGAAGAACCTTAAATAAATCTTAAATAAATTCTAATAAAATCTTATTTTAATTCTAATTGAAATCCTAATGGATTTTAATTAAATTCTAGATCAAATTCTAACTAAATCCTAAACCAAATCCTAGATAAATTAATCTAATCCTAGAGTAGTTTAGAACCTCAATATCTATCAATTATATCATTGATCTTGATTAAGATTTAATACACCTCTCAACAATTAACTTCGAAATAAGTACAAAAAATTTGAAGAAGATTAAATTTAATAAATAAAAGATTAATCCTAAATTCTGCTTGGGTGTTGGCCAGCCTCCTACTCCAATCCAAATGTTAAACTTCCAATACCACTATCTCCTTCTTCAAATATTGAATTATTTCCAAATTTCATCTAAATTGTTGGAAATCAAGTCTAGTCTCTATATAAAAAAATTCACTTCAATCCAGTTGTCAAATTGCTAAAAATCTTAAAAATACTTGTTGACCTTCAAACTCTAATTTCTGAGATTACAACCCACAAAAACTTTCACAGACTTTGATCTAACTATTTGATTGACCTCAAAATTTGCATTCACATTTATAACAAGCACATCAATACTCTATCCAAAATTTATCTATACATATACTACAAAATTCAAGAAATCCTCAATTTTGTAAACGTAACTTTATTTTTTAAAATCTAATCCAATCAAGAACAACACTAACTTTGAAAATTCTCAAAAAATTAAATATTAATTTGATTGACATAAAACCAATGCTCAAAAATCTCTTTGCAAGTTTTCTCTCAAATCTCCTTCTTTGATCTACCAAAGAACCATGGAGTTGCCGTAGTTTTGTAGTTGTGTACCTCATGGTTTGATTTCAACCTAGGTTGACAACCAGTCCTCTCTAGGTATCAAAATTTGGTAATGTGAGGTAATTTTTGCTTGAACCTAGCAATAATTTCCTTCTAAACATGTTTGTATTAATTACTTATCTCATTTACTTTGATTTGAGGTATTTATGTTGCTACAAATCAAATAGAAGCCTCTTCTCTAAAAAGCAGCATTAAGCCTAAATCTTTTATTACCTTCCTATCATTTATCCTTGTTTTTCTACTACATCTTTCTACTAGGCTCTTCTATAACAACATCCATGTTTTTATTTTTCACCATATAGTCGTGTTACTCCATAACATTGGTTGTTTAAGAGTTTGAAATACTTGAAGAATATAAAAAGAGAAGTATGCTGTATATTCTTAATTACTCTAACATGGAGGCATCCAATATATTGTCATTGGTAAAGAAGTTTGCAATCAAGTTTATCTATACCTTCTTGAGGTAGATATACAAGGTCCTTTGGTTGAATTACATATACTGCAAGCATTCTCGATTGAAATTGGAGTGGTCTATAGAATGTAGATATTAAAAGCATCTTTTAGTATGCATTTATGTATATGTTATGTTTTTTTTTTAAATAGGTCCAACTTTTGTCATCCTAGTATATGAAGAAATTTGTTTCATCTAGAAAGAAAAAAAATAAAAACAAAACAAACAAACAAGGTTGCTTAAATATGAGGTGGCAAACACAAATCCATTATTGAGTTGAAGATTTTGAGAGACTTCACATATGTAATTGAAAAAACCCAGATTATTAAAATGTCCATGTAAAAACCTCATAAGTGTTTAAAAAAATATAACAAAAAATAAATAAATAAATAAATAAAAATAGAATTTTTTTTTCTAAAATAATATATAGCTACATCTTTGATATGCTTTCATATTACAAAGTCTTTGAATATGTCATCTATTCTTATTTATTAGTTCTAAGTAGGGGTTTTTTTATACTATCAACACTTTCTACTTCATTTTTGTACTTCTGTATGATGGACTAGTTTATGTTACAAGGTTTTGTAGCACTTGACATTTCATAGTATTTTTATATATGAAATGTGGAGGTGATCAAGGTTTGTTGTAGCTATCATTGCATGGTTTTGTTTTCATACAATAATGATGGACTTTCTTTTGAATTCATCTGTTGTAAAAAAAAAACTTCTTACAAGTTCTGGTCATTTTCAAGTGTGCTTCATTTGAGAATAAGGGCCTTGTAGCTTTTTTATTATATTAAAGTAGGAAAATTTCTTAAAAATGAATCAGCTATACTCCATTGTATGTTTAGTGAGAAGTTGTGTAAATTGGAAGAAGTAAGGAGGGCATTTGGATAGTTGAGAAAGTGTGCAATCATAAAATATGTAAAGTGTATATGAGGTGGGATTTGTAGAACAAAATCAATATTAGATAGAAACTGTACTATGCACCATTTGCAAAGGTAGTGGAATATAATCGATACCTTTTTGACATTCCACAATGCCGGTAGAATCATGGAGTTGGAATAGATGCATTTGTGATCAATATCGAATACCTTGGCAATTTGGAACAAACACCATTACAAGAAGGCACATCCATCAATGTATTTGTGGTCCAACACATCTTATCAATTCAATGTTCTACAAAATAATCATTTTGTTTTTAATTGATTAACATATGATGTTGTGAAGCTAGATTATAAAAATTGAAAGAATTATAATAAGACTTTCAACATTAATTAATATGCAAATAATATAATTAAATAATTAAAGTTTTTATTATAAGTTAGATTATCAAACTTTTAGACAACAAGAGTTCCCACTAGACTAGTATAGCATTATATATATATATATATATACACACATGAAAAAGAGGAGAGAAGTTAAAAGAATAAAATACAAAGAGTGTAATGGAGTAGAATAACCAGAAAGACATCGAAAAATATCTGCTCATTCTACGCTCCTCTTACGAAAGCTTAAAAAAAGCTTCCGTATTGAGCTCATCCTTGCAAATTGGCGCTGCGGATACTAAATTATTTATAAATTCATATTTAGGGTTAGGGATTCTCTGAGGAAAGATCGACCTGCTGCACGATCTCAAGACGTCGTCTGATCATACCGTCGTTTCTGCCGCCGCTCTGTCTCCTCGAAACAATATTATTCGAACCTATCGTACTGCGAGATCCTAACCAATTCTATAAACCTAGAGAAGTTACAGATGAACGGATTGTTTGTGAGCACCCATGCATAGGTTCCATAGCTGTCCAGTTCAGACTAATGCTCTTGACGTCGCTACGAGATAAAGCTAAAGCATCACCATAGTCTGTGAGCGAAGGTACTAATTGATCACCAAATTAAGAAAACTAAACCTCCACAAAACTCTGCCAACCACCAAGTCGCTGCCATCACGCAAAAACCCGTCCCCTAGTATGAAAATCCCATTACCTACTGCAATTTAGGACAAGAACAATCCAAGAAAATGCATTACGCTTCTCCTTTTGATCGATTAGCATACGCTTCCAGTATCAATTCTCCTTCTCGATCGAGATATAACTCCCGGTAAAGCAAAGCACTACAAAGCAAAGCCCCCAGAAAAGCACTACCAATCATACGGGCTAATCAATAGCTGGAAGAGAAATTGCAGCGGACAAGAAGCAGCCTGAGTGGCACAAGTGCAGCAAGAAGGGTCTGGTGAGTGGCACTGAAAGAGCTGCGAGAGTGAACTTGCGCCGCTGCGGAGACCATTGAAGTTGGGTGATATGACAGTTCTGAACTTGGAACAGTCGTTCGCGTCTGCTGCACACCAAAATGATTGGACTAATAACAGAAGAAAACGAAAAAGGAACAAAACTTAAATTCAACCTCTACATATATATATATATATACACAGATTTTCACACATATGGTGGGAGAGGGTGGAGGAGGAGAACAAAAAATAGAGTACAAGCAGAAGACAGATAACAAGAACAAGGGAGAGGTGATATTATATTGTTGAACCAAGGCACTTGAACTATGTACAAAAGTACATTTTGCTTTCTCACCATAAGTTTTAGAAATATATGATAGTATCTGTGAGATGCTGAAAAGTTATTATAAAACTCATAGCATGTAACAATATTTTAAGAACTTATTATTAAAACGTAGAAAATATATAATTGTAGTTTTACTTTATTTTGTAGATCCAATACTATTGCAATCCATCACATGCCCGACTTATGTTTTTCTTATAGGAGTTGTTAAAATCCTGATCGCAATATTAGTTTTTGGAAATAAAAAGAGTCCTGTTAGTTTAGTTGAATTATAATGTTTTGTTTCACTCATTCGGTTGAGACTTGCTTGACCACATATGCTTGGAGTGCATAAAAACAATATCAAAACAGGGCAGAATAATATTACAGCTAGCATGTTGTGAAGCTTAAATACTCAAAAATTATAATCCATTGAGAATTTAACCGACATTTAAAAGTATTCGAGCAATACTTCAATAGTGAGTACGAGTGCCGATGAGTATATTCAAGGGATTGTCCTCCTTCAAGAAATCTTTAAAAATGACTTGATTCGCAATTTTGGGAAATACTTTCCTTGGTCATCAATCCTCGACGATTTGGACGAGCACACCACACTCCACACAACAATTCCGATGATGGAACTGTCCAATTATATTGTACAATTCCAGGTGGAATTTCGACGGAAGGGCATAACGAGGATGGAGGAGGCACATTCCAAGGCAGAACGGGAGGGTGGCCTTATCTTGGGGAGCGAGTGAATCGCCTTATCGAGAAGCAGGGACAGGCGCGGGTGAAGCCGGACCACCCCCTGCCATTGGCCCAGCCGGGCCCGTCTTATCTCTTCCTATTGGGACTCATACCGTGGGTCCGTTTTACTGCTACTTTTCTCTCATCCTCTTTAGACTCCATAGCCATCACGTATTGTCACTGTCCTAGACGTCGTCTTGAGCTCTTGCGTCAACCCTCTTCTTCTCAAGCTGCGCAGGAAGAGCTACGAGATCAAGCAATGGCGTGCTCAGCAGTTGCCACCAGCGTGAGCGCGGCCCTTGTGCCCGCAACCCAGGCGTGGGAGGGCAAGACTTTGTCGCGTCAGGGTCTCGCTCTGGCTGCTCCGCCCAGGGCATCCAGGATGGTCGTCAACAGAAGCAGGGTTGTCATGAGGTAATGCGGCGATCTTTGGACTTAACCCAATTGGATTTCTTATTTATGCTGTATTTCTGCTGCCTAGCTTGCAATAACTGGCAATGGCTTGCTCATAGATCGGATATATGCTCGTTATTGGTTGGCTTCTTAGCATTTGAGACTCAGCTGCCTGCACTTAACTTTGTGTTCCGAAGCCGACGTATGTTGCATTGCGAGGTCCGTGTGCTGTTTACACGCCTGAATATGCCAATTCTGTACTGGGTACCTTAATGTCTGGGAAACTTCACTCTGTGGGGGTTTGTGAATTGAGGTTGTGACATGCACAGTGCTTACTATGAGTATTGTTAACTGTCTCCGCATTACAGTACGTACATACTGATTAGGTCATAACAAAGATTGGTACCGACTGTTTGATTCTGATTGCCCTTCACCGGTACTCGTTTGCAGTGCTACCCCGTCAGACAATAAGGTGGTAAGCTTGACTAGCCTCGCCTTGTTGGCTGCCGCCGTGGTTCCCGAGATCGCTGAAGCCGCTCAACCAGGAGTATCTCCTTCTTTGAAGAACTTGCTCCTCAGCGTAGTGGCAGGAGGAACTGTGCTGACGGTGATTGGTGTCGCCGTTGCCGGAGTATCAACATTCGATCCCGTCAAGAGAAAGTAGATCATGAGTTTTTCTTAGTGTGACCAATCTGTCGACTTGATTTTCTAATTCTATCGTAAACACGTTATCACTTCTATGGCCTGTACCTTTCAATGAGATGGTTTACGCATGTCGGTGCTTTATATACTATTTGTCCCAGATGCGGGAAATAATGTCCATCTCACATTGTGATTTGTGAAGTTCTAATCCTTCGGGCAGTTTGGATAATGTTGTTGAGATACTCCTCTGTAGCGAAGGCCAATGAAATTCAGCAACTTTACTGTAAGTGGAACGGTCTTGATCGAAGTAAAAACATCAGGTCTTAAATTATCTTTCATCTCAAATAGCACGGTACCACTGTATGCGGAATTTCTTGAACTGTAGTTTGATGTATGTAATGGACTAAGGCGAAATGACGTAGTTTTAGCACTTGTCTCCACTGAAATTCACCTTAAACGCGGTTAGGGATTCTATCACTCAATTATATTCTTGGCGATAGTAACATGCTAATTACTTGCAGTAGAAGCCGATGCTACATACGCGTCACACCGATCGTAGCCGAGAGACTGGCTTATTTTCATCGCGCAGGGTAATTGTGACGGTAATTGGCCACCATCCAGAACAAGTGAAAAACCTGTAATCTATTGATGATGTATCTTCTGATAATTGCAATGGAATTGTCACACCTCAACTACAATTTGCAACAATCAGCGCATATATCTGATATACTCCCATTCCTTTTATATCTTTTAACAGAATTAAGAAGAGTTACCATCACTTTCACACAGCACACAATTCTCCGCCAAAACCACATATAAACCAAATTACATTTCAGCTAAAACCTTAATTTCCCACTTCACGTATACATTTACTTGACCATCCTCTTCGATTATCGCAAAATTTGTATGTTTTAATAATTACAATTTGCAAACATCGTCATAACTTCAATGAACTTGTCGGCTGTAGGAAATAATAACCAGACTTGGTGAAACTCCTTTCAGGTATTAAGGTAGAAAGTGGTTTTTAGTTGTAATGTGTAGCAGCTAGCTTTTTATAATAAAGTTCAACTACATATTGATCCTCAAAACAGCTTGCAATACAACCTAACAATGCCACCAATAAATGATTTTCACATTTCAAAGTTTTATGTCCAAATCAAAGTAACACAATCAACACACAGGCTCATTCGACCGAAGAGGTCTATCTGTATTAAGAATAGCAAAGCCAATATTCGTAAATGCAACCACATTGACGTGATTTGAACATCATCCATAAACTTCGGTATATGTGATGATACCATGTTATTATTTTACAGTGAGGTATGCACCCGTTAAAAAGGACAGACTGCTCCACTAACAACTGTTTAGTTCATGTATTCCAACCACCACGTGTTAGGGGTGCACAATACAAGTGTAAAATGAAAACAAATATTTACAAAATACAAAGCCCACAATGGATTTGTATATCCACACATCCAACGCTTCCCATGAGATGTTTACATTCTGTGTCGCTTTGACGACACAGGAGACGATGGCAAGACGATCTCCTTACAAAGAAATCCTAACACCAAGCTGACCACCTAGCCCTTCGCATACTCGATTTCTTCATCATCTGAATTCCAATATCAAAGAGCAGCTTGCCCTCGAATAACCTACTCAATTCGTGCTATGCTTGACATCAGATGAACTGGATTCAATAGTGACTTCAGCGCTGCAGACAGGGCAGACCTGCCAATAAATAATACAAATTATAACATGATCATGACCCAGCTTCGAGGATAAATGCACATGTAATATCATTAGATGAAAGCAACAGCGGGTGTCAACAAAAACTACAACGCCCTTCAAGAAGCATGTCACATATGTCACTAACAAGGATGAGCATAAACCACCGCCTACGATTACAATACTGATTAGGCTCTGTACCTTATTATGTTGCAGCCATTGTTGAATGCACTCAGAATGGTAGTGATGTTTGCAAGGCAACCTAAGCATCTTGTCTCCTTTTTCGTACTCAAGCCGACAGACTACACACCTGTACAATAGAATTCAACATCAGTTCCTTCGTTGAAAGCAAGGTTTATATGAAAAAACTAAGGATGACGAAAAAGACATGCGTCAAGAGTAATTTCGAAATTGCGAGTATTAGGTAGGCAATATAATCTCTTACTGCTCTTGATCAGTGCTAATGTCCTTTGAATCAGGCACATACGTAAATTGTTGAAGTGATGCAACAGACTGGGCATTTAGCCCTTTGCTTTCTGTTCCTACTGCTTCTCCAAGTGCAATTAGCTCCTGGTATTAAATGCCATATATAAGCATCAAGAAGTTCCAAAAGATTTGAAAGTCATTCCACTTACAACTGAAATAGGATGAGGTTCAGCTCACGTCAGTCAGAATCTTACTTTTCATAATTAGATTGACAAATTAAGGGTAGAAAATCATCACATCATCAGATACAGTCGATCGAACAACTAGAAGGATGTGTAGCAATCGATTAAAATAAATAAAAAATCAAGATAGACTAGGATGGATTGAGGGGTTGATGTGAAACTTACCTCGTAAGACATATTATCCGGATCCACATCCTCCCACATGTCGTCCTGAAATGATCAACAAACATATTCTTTTTTACTACGTGCCATCCAGAAGCAACTAACAAAGCAACAACAGTTTGTAGATTTTATTTAAGTGAACACTGAACCTTTTCAAAGCGAAATGATATCCGCCACAAACAGCTCAAATTCATTCCTTTAACAAAGTGCACAAAGTTACTTACATGAGAGTCGTTGCTATCGGTTTCCAACCCCCCGTCAGCTGCAAAATAAAACAACACCAACCAAAAGAAGTAACCACCAAATAGTCAATTGCAATGCATTTCCGACACTAGTTTCATTGACACTAAAGCTGAAGCATATACCTTAAGAATCCATGATCTCTGCTCTTGAAAAGGCCAGACAACTTACGATCATGAATGCCAGCGAGCGCCATCAGATGTGCTGTAGTATCCCGATCCTCCTTGTCCTGGAGAGCCCGCGCATAAGCCTCATCACTATCAAAGTTAGCACCATCTAGCTGTTCATCACCAGCAGCTCTTCCCTCTATCCCTGGTTCCTCAGGATCATCTGCACCTTCTTCGACCTCTTCATCATCTTCCTCCTCTTCCTGCTCCTCTTCATCCTCTTCTTCATCTCGGTATTCCTCGTCGTCACCTGGAATATCGAAATGGTTCCCCTCATAAAAGAACCTACCAGAATCGTTAAAATCACCACCACCATGTCCCATCTGTAGTAAGAAATATGCTCTTTCCTGCATACATCATACAAAGTGACACATTGTAAACACGGTCTTCATCTCCACCATCAAACCTGGCAACAGCAACCTGGCAATGCTCGCTAAACCCCAACTGCTAACTAATCAGCAATGCAACAGACACTATCCCTGAAAAAGTTGGATTTCGAACTTCTACGGACACAATCACCGTTACGAAGTCACCCACAAAATTCAAATACGACAACGGATTCACATCCATTAAGGATCGTGCTGAGTAATAACCTGCTCCTGAAGAGCTCGAGCCAACGCCATGTCCGAATCAACTTGACTTAGAGAGGTGAACGGCACCCTTCCAGCAGTGCTCGGCTCTGGTGCTGGACTATCGTCGCTTACCACATTATTTTCGGCATCGCTGCCAAGACCCTCTACCTGCTGTGGTTTCTCATTATCATTACTCATATTCGAAGCTGCTCCTCCTTCCTTGCCCTCCATTTTAGAGGCTTCTGTGCTTTCTTTGTCGGCGTTGCTGCTCATCGATTACCACCTAGCTACAGTTCTATCTATCTACCTTTGTGACGGATCACCACCTTCACAAAATCAACAAGCTGCCCCGAGTTAGCTTCAATTGCAAATCTACCACCATACCATTCAGAATAAGAATTTAGTGTTTCATAGCCTGCCACCACTCTGCCCAGTAACACCACTATCGAGATTCCCGATGTCAGACGTGGACGAGAAATATTCTACCAGTGCACTACTGTCATGCTGGGATCTTAAGATACACTTAAACGGAAATGCATCCCGGAAGAACAAAATCAATTCACAGATTCCGCCATCAACTGATTTGGAACTCGATCTAACGTGCTGACATCAAGACGTAGACAATGCCCCTGCACAGCTGAAAATAACGACATGTGCATCGTCCACCACTCCGCAAACTCTAATCAGATAACAAACGTCCAAAAAACCGAAAGCAAAATCGTACAGTCTACGCTCGCAGCAAGTCAATCTAGCAAATCTACTCCCCAAGGTCAGCAGAAAGCGAACATGCTCAACAAACTCCTGAAACTTAACCCACATACATATTCTTCACGAACACATATAAACAAATATAAAATACAAGAAACCTACCTCAAAAAAGACTCGCCAATCACGGCCACAACGCGACCACGCCTGCAACCGATCGGATTTCCCTCGCCGCTACCTCTACACCCTGCTGCTCTCCAATCTCAAGACCACCGCCCAACCACCGCCTCGAAAGACCTCAAACGGTTCTCACACACTACAATCGCCCTGTTTAACCTCAAGACACACCCAACGACTCGAAGAATTGCCTCTAGGATTTCTCAAGAACACGAAGAAACCATTCGCAAGCGTCTGCCGAGGCGCTGGAACCCTAGCTTACAGGCCCAGCACCGCGAATTGCTTATTTGCAAGGACGGGCGACCGAGGAGAGGAGATACGGGATTGGAAATAAGAGACGGACCCTAACAGGCCTTCTTATGCGAAGCCCATTTCTTTCCAGGCTTTGGTAGGTTGGGACGATTTCGAACCTACCTGCCCGCTTCGTGACACCGACCTTCCTCATAGGTCTATCCCGGCCGGGCCTGGTTCCTCCTGTACGAGACCAGACAAGTACACACATTGATATGAGTACTGTGCCTGTAACCGACGCTGCCCGGTCATGTATACGCGACCGAACGAACGGGACCTCTCGTCCAGTGGTACTTGTTCATCAAAGGAGCATTGAATTATTTGGTGTGTTTTACACTTACGAGCCTCAAAAAAATTGGATGGTTTACAAGTCTCGGGAGGTTTATTTAGTTAGAACCCCGATTAAAAGGTCATGGTCCAAAATAAGTCTCCTCATTTGGTGAGGAAATGTTCTCTTTTGGAAGTCTTGATTTTTGGAGATAATATGAAGTGAGAACAGGTTGTTTAATCATGATTATAAATATGGTTAGTTTTAATATATTTCTTTTTGAGTTCAAGATATGGGAAAAAGGAAATGATTTAAAATAAATAACTATTTGGGAATAGTTTTTTTTAGAAAGTTATGGAACAACATGCTTCTATTTTTGGTAGTATGCTCCTGGGAAATAAATTCAAATTTTTGTGTACAGTTTTTAAATAAATTATTCATGAAAGCTGTGGTTATATATGAGTATAATATCAAATCAAATGAACTAGTAATTAATTGGAAACTAAAATTAATGTTGATATCATTTTAGAATATAATATCATAAACAACATTTCCTAGAATTTGGGTCTTGAAATCATGTAATATTATTTTTAACTTAAAAATTTTGTTTTAAATTTATATAAAGGCAAATGTTAAGATCTTGATAGATTATTGTATAATACTATGTATTGAGGTGCATTTGTTGAAAGCTTTTTAGTAGAAACATTCTTGACTGTTGAATTTTTTTTTAGTTTGTAAGATCAAGATTTAGTGTCTTTGTGTCTTGGAAGTTAGTTTTATAATAAAATTATAGTGAAATGTAAGTATTTTTTGTTACTTAAATCGGATTTTAAATAATAAGAAACTATAATTTTAAAATTATAAATATATATATATATATATATATATATAAAAATTTAGCAATAAGTTGTAATTATATTGATTTATTACTTATAAAATAGAATGAAATTTTAATTTTTTAAGAAGACAACTTATTTAAAACAACATATTTTCAAAATGCTTTTGCAAAATACTTAAAAAAAAAATGTTTCAAGTTTATTTTTTATACCTTTAAAAAATATTAAAAGGCCCTCTACTTAAAATTGTGCTTATTTTGTAGCCATGTTTAATTTTCTGTTTTAATACTCAAACTGATTATTATTGTTTAAAATGAATAATCTTCTTTATTTTTTAAAAATATAATTTCACACTTAAAACTAAATATATATTAAAGAAATATTATTATTAGTTACATTAATTATTAGAAAAAAAATGATTATAATATTTTTGCAACTTTGATATATTTGAAATTAAAATGATTTATAGATTAACCAATAAAGATGAAATAAAAATGTCGTCATTGTATGTTTAATCCATTGACAAGACACATACTATCTATCTATCTATCTATATTTTTCTTTCTTTAAAATATCTTGTTGTAATATCTTCTACTGACCACTTATTAGATTTTTATACCAATGAGAATTTCTTTTTATAAAAAAAAAGTCAATGTATTAAAATTGATAGAAATAATGTCATGTATATATATATATATATATATATATGTTTAGATTTTTAAAAATAAAAACTCAAGTTTAAAGTTTTAAAATTATTATTAAAATAATTTATATATTTATTTCTAAATAAAATCTTTGGAAATATCATACATGGATGTCAAGGATATGTTTCTAGATATATTTTTTTAAATATAGTTATTTTATATAACACCATTATGTATTTTAAAAAATTAATATGAAAAATTTACAAATATAAAATAGAGAATACGTAAAATGGTCATTGTCAAATACAAAGAAAGTTGAAAATCTTGAACCAAGACTTAGACATATGGAAGATATTGACAAGAGTATGGATGGCCTTAGTCTTACCTCCATATACATATATATATATATATAATGAAGGCCATGTGGTAGCTTCCTCAAAACCATAAGGTTTATACTCCATGTCTCCAAATCATAGGTTGTTTTTTTTAGCAACTTCTATAAAGTAGAAAATTTGGAAAACAAGTTTTAATAGCCATGTGATATATACAGAGATAAATAAAAAGATTTTATTCACATTTAAGAAGCTCCTTTAATGTATTTAAAAGAAATTATTATCAATTTAATATATACATATATATAGACATAATTTATTTAATTAATTTAATATAGATTTTTATTAAAATATATGTAAAATTAACACTATAGATAGTTTTTAGAATCTGATTTATTTTTTTGATTTAATTTTGTATATTGTATAGTATTTATTCATATTGTATGTTGATATAAATATTTATTTGCTTCTTTTTATATTTGATATTTCGTTTTTATTTATAAGCACAAAATACTTATTTATTATAATTTTTCAAATTGCATTGATAATAAATAATTTAATCCACATATATAATTAATAAAACAGCTATAGACTTTATTAAAATTAGAACATAAAATTCTAAAATTAGATTAGAATAGTAAAAATTTATATTTATATATTTATGTCTAACATTTTTGATTATTTTAAATAATAAATATAACAAAATATCGAATTTTTGCACAAAAAGTTGAATAGGGATTGAGTTTTTTTCTTCAATTACATTTGTTTTGCAATATTATAAATGATTACTAAATTGTCAGCATTTCACATTCTTGTGTATAATTAAGAATATGATACATTTTAAAATGTAATTTTTATTTCATATTAAATTTAAACATTTCATTTATTTTTCGTTTTGTGTACTTAAGATAAATCCAATTACATCCAATTTAAATACCAAGCACTGCTTTCTTCAATAAAATAAAGGTCATGTGAATCAAAATAAAATTAACAGATACCTTTTGATGTTTTTAAACATTAATCAAGCTTTAAAAGCTGTCAATAACATACAATATACATAGAAGCAAATTATTGAAAGCATTAGTAAACTTACTATTTCATGAAACTTGTGAGGTTTTGTTTTGTTTTGTTTTTTGTTTTTTTTATTAAATGTACTTAAAAGTTTAAAAAAAATTCCTTACTAAGCTTTTTAAACTCAAATTCTTTTTGCTCAACTATCACAGAGATGCCATTTCTTTTTCTTTTTCTGTAGACATTTAAAAGCACAAAATTAAAAAAAGCATTTTTTTTTTGATATGCAACGTAAACAGATGTGACTCAAAGCAAACAAATAAATAACAAATGAAGGAGAAACATGACAAGCAAACACAATTCAAGGAGGTTCAACATGTTCAGAACGTTCTAAGACGGTCAACAGTGCATTTGAATCCCATCAAAACTCAATTGATTATACTTCCTCAAAAAACCCTTTCAAAAATTAGCTGCATTCCATCATATTCTAAATCAAAAGTGTAAGTGAATATGACACTCATCCGAGTACAGTAGTTGTGTTACCACTCTCTAAAAATACTAGCTTCCTGTAGGTTTTACATTTGTAATGTTGCTTCTCAGCACGTCCATTTGTTA